TATATATATATATATATATACATAATTTACGAGAAATGCAGGAATGCGAAACCAAGAAATACCTGCATCAATGCGTTACCCAATCTCTCGGCCATCGTCATGAACTGAGGATTTTGCATAACTTGTTGCATTGTCGAATAATATTGTTGTGTGTCAAAGTTGGGGATACTATCTTCAACTGGACCACCTTGAAAGGTTTTCTGGAGCTGTTCTGCCATCTGATTAAACGAAGGATCTTTTGCTATCTGTTCGGCTAATTCCTTAATGCTCGGGTCCTGCACAAACGAAACATTATAATTGTAAAGGAAAAAAATAAATTTAAGTACTCAGTATCAGTTCAGAAAACTGCAAACGTGTATGTACATTAAGCAGTCCAGTCATAGCTGAGAAATCGAACGGATTCGGCATTCCACCAACTGGAGGAGGTGTTGCTGCTCTTCTCTGTGCAGATGGTGTCTCCGCCGAAGCTGACGCACCAGAATCTGCCTTCTCTGAACAGCAAAAACGAGATTTCATTAGTTAAATAGTTACAACAAAAAACTCTACCACCACTTACGAGCACGTATATACAATTGATTACGTAAAATAAAGAGAAGAGCCGTATTTAAAAGAAAATAATCTTTATAATTTGGGTTTCCATCAGAAATGCATTACAAAAGACGAACGAAAAATGTTCGGGTAAAATATGAAGCATGTCTTTAACCTCAAAATTTGCTAATTGCTATGCTATATAATAAATACCACCATTCAGATTTCCGGAAATCCGCCACCAACCGAGAGGCTAATACTTTTTTAATTAAATAAGAATATGTTATTTAACGGAAACCCTCGAAGCAACGTAACAATATGAAGCATGTCTTTAACCTAAAAACTTGCTAATTGCTATACTTAATAGTAAATACCACCATTCGGATTTCCGGAAATCCGCCACCAACCGAGAGGCTAAATGCTCGATAATTAATAAGAATAAGTTATTTAGCTGAACCTCATAGCAACGTAACAATATGAAGCATGTTTTTAACCTCAAAACTTGATAATTGCTACACTTAATAGTAAATACCACCGTTCGGATTACCGGAAATCCACCACCAACCGAGAGGCTAATACTCGATAAATTAATAAGAATATGTTCTTTAACTGAAACGCTCAAAAGCAACGTAACAATATGAAGCATGCTTTAACTTCAAAACTTGCTAATTGCTATACTTAAATGTCACACATTAATAGGAAAACCCCCCGTTTGGTTTACCGGAAAATCCCCCCCCCAACCGGAGGGGGTAATACTGGGTAAATTTAATAGGAATATGTTCTTTAACTGAAACGCTCAAAAGCAACGTAACAATATGAAGCATGCTTTAACTTCAAAACTTGCTAATTGCTATACTTAATAGTGAATAGTAAATAATAAATACCACAGTTCGGATTACCGGAAATCCGCCACCAACCGAGAGGCTAATATACTCGATAAATTAATAAGAATATTTTCTTTAACTGAAACCCTCAAAAGCAACCTAACACAATCCCAATCCTTAATCCCCAAAAAATTTAAAAAAAAAAAAAAGAAAAAAAAATCATAAAATTAACATTACTTGACATAATTTTAAACTCAGAGAGAGATAATCTCACCATCTGTAGTAACCAGTGGAGTTTTTGCAGCCTGAAAAGCCACCAAAAAAAAAAAAAAAAAAAAAACATTAAAACAAATCAGTATAACAACAGCTGCAAACATATGAATAATCGAAGTATACTCGAATTAATGGAACTGCACATAAATAAATTAAAATTAAAATTACAAAATTCGAAATACAGGCAATAACTGGTCAAAATCAAAGTCAACAAAGTCGAAGCAAACGATCTCTTATCCGTTAAGAACTCGAAAAATTGAACCATAGTAGAGACGAGGATTTCGCAGTAGTTACCTCAGACATAGTTGCTGGCTGCAGATCCTTTGCTTGAAGAGAGAGAAACGTAGAGAGAGAAAGAGAGGATTTGGGGAAGAGAGAGGAAAGTAGTTTTAATACTGTGGGAGATGATGATGATAAAGTATAGTACAGAGTATATTCTGAGATTAATAACCGGAGCGAGTGGGGTGGGCCAACTCAATCCTAATCGCTAACTCGAATGAATGGCTGATTATCGGCCTGTTTGGATTCTTTATTTTGGACTCGATTTTTGGGTTCTTTCGTAATTTGTCCGCCCGGAATTGAACGGGTTGTGACCTTGTGTTATTAACGTGGTGTTTGCAAATGCTTTTGAAAGTGATTATGCGGTTTTTTTTTGCTCATAATCTATTTTAAGGTGTTTGCAAAATCAACTTTTGCTTTTGCTTCTCTTAAAATAATCTGGTTTAAGCTATTTTTTTAAAAGCACCATTAACCCTGCTTTTTCAATTTTAATTCATTTTCCGAAATATTTGCAAACACCCCCAACTTTTAGAAATAAGCACTTAAAACTAACTTAAATCACAATCACTAACTTGTGCTTTTAAATAATCATTTGCAAACACCACCTAAATGGGTTACCAAAAGTCAAAACCCTTAACCTCCATTTGACTCGTCAATTTTAAAAATTCTTTCCTCCAAAGGGGTTATTAAAATAGAGTTATATTTTGATAACTCATACTTCGAGAAGTAAAAATACATCCCAAATAAATAGTTATCAAATATTCTCCTAAAAAATAGGAGCTCGTGAAAAAAAAAACCTCAACATAATTGAGTTTTCTTTTCTTCACGTAAAAATCTCAACAAAATAAAATTAAATTTTTCACGTCTTCAACAAATTTCCAATGGAAAAAAAATCTCAACAGAATAAAATTAAATTCTCTACGTCTATTTATATATAAATTTTTTTTCTATTGAAAAGGTAAAAACTTGATTAATATTGATTTTGAAGATATTTTGCCAGAAAAATTGGTTTGTGTGGTTATTTAAAATGAATTAAAAAATAAATAATATATAAATAATTATAAATTTGTTTGATAATTGTTTTTTGATACTTGTGGTTGGAGTTCACTAGTTGTATAGAGATATCAAAGTATAATTCTGGTTATCAAATGAGTATTTGATAACCCATTTGATAACAATGGGTTGGAGTTGAGCAACTCCAATGAAGTTATCAAACATGGTATTCAAACCATTAACCACTATTTATATACAAAAAAATAGAAATTGTTAACTCCATTCTCCAATGGGTTATCAAAATTAAGGTTCTATTTTGATGATTCAACTTCTGTGATGTAAAAATATTTGCTCGAAATTGAGTTATCAAAAGTGTACATATCTAAATTCCAATCAAAAGTGGACATGTGGCAATTACAAATAAAATCACCTATAAACTTCTAACTGGTAATTAATTTGATAACCATGGTTGGAGTAGATGAATTTTAATCAATATTAAAATATTATCTCAAATATCAAATAAATATTTGATAATTCAATTTTGGTATTTAGCATGACTACGTAATTAGGTCTTGTTTGGTTATTGAGATAAGATAAAATAATTTAATGAAAATTCAATTATTTTTTCTAAGTTCAGGACTTGGGATGTCCAATAAAAAATCTTCTTAACATGCAAGTTAACCCGTGATAATATAATATTTGTAGGTCGACCCGACAAGTTATTGCGGGTACTAAATATAAAAAAAATCCATTTATTTAGTTAATCATAGATTAGTTTGATTAACTAAATACTTGGACTTTGTTTGATGTTATCCGCAATAACTTGTCGGATCAATCCGCAAATATTATTTTATCATGAATTATCTTGCATTTTAGGCATGTTTTTTTATTGGATCGCCGGATGTCCAATAATATATTCAAGTTTTATTAGCTTGACTAATTTTATCTTGACAACCAAACAAGACATTAGGGTATTATTGGAATTAATAAAGTGAGATAGTAAGTAACAAAAAAAAATGTCAAAAGTAATAGATATTGCGAAATGAAGGTAGTAAATTTTTTTTGGTAGTTATGTTAATAACATACATATGATGTGAAAGTGTGGTATATACGTGGAAATTGGAACAAAGTTTTTCGAATTCGGATATTTTAATTTTTGGAACAATATTTTCTAATATGAATTTCGAAAGTTTTGATTTCTGATTTTTTCTTCAATGGAGTTGAAATATAGATAATATTCGGACTTTCGATTCAATTTTAATTTCTAACATTTTCATTTATATTTTTGGAAAGGATACTTACGATATCAACATTATTATTTAATTTATATTATACATTATTAAAGATGTAAATTATAAATTCTGTCAATTCCAATCTGAAAATTTTCAATTGCGAAACAAGTTTTTCTCATTTCAATTTCAAAAATTCTGGTTTTTCTGATTTTAATTGTATGTAAAAGTACTTTCTGAAAATTAAGTTATCAAATAATATAACCACCTAAATTTTCAATCACAAAATTACATGTGACAAATAAAAATAAAATCACAAGAAAACTTCTGATTATCACCATGGGTAGAATAAATGAATTTTAAATAAATATTAAAATATTATCTCAAATATCAAATGACTATTTGATAACTCAATTTTTAAATTTACCATCGGAGTTGTTCTACCTGCAATTATTCCAAGTACATTGTTCTCTAGAATACTATAGTACTTTTGTCACACATACAAGACTCGACACCAGCATGTGAACTACCTACCTCCGAGCTTATGTTACTATGAATTTTTTTTCTTTAGTAACGAAAAAACTCGCAGTCAATCATATAGATGTATTGGATAAATTTACACTGTTATATAATAGCTTACAAATCATATGGGATAGTTATGCTATGAACTGACTAATGATTATATAGTATATAAATATTGTTGCCCATATTTGGCTCAACAAATTTATTTTGATTGGTAAATTTTAATTTATTTCAAGTTAAGTTGTTGGATCAAATATTATTTATTGATATGAAAAGTTACAAATAAGAGGTGATAGAAGAGACAAGGCAAATAAGTGTGAGACAACAATCAATACTATAAAGAAACCATAAAATCATCCATTTTTAATAAACCTAAAAAAAATTTAAAAAAGGATACATGAGTTCAAAAGAATACTTACAATATTTATAGATAAACTTATAGGAAATATTACAATTTGCATCCATCAAATTTGCAACGATTTCATATTGGTCTACCATGTTTACAAAAAACATATTCAGTATCTCGTGTTTCAATAATTTTACATTTTTGGTTATTTTCGTCAATTTATCATTAGTCCGTCCGTTAAGGCAGCGATGGACGGATGCTTGATTCTGTTAAAAGACTAAAGGTGTTGATTTTTTTAATCATGAGGGACCAAATGTGTTTTTGTGAACATGAGAGCCAAATATAAAATCAGTGTAAACTTGAGGGACAAAAAATGTATTTTTCCTAAATGTATCTATAAGCTAATTTAAATAAATCACCAAAAAACGTAAGTTTTTAAAAGTTTCGTGTGGAAATGGATGTATCAAGTCGAAATAAGTACTTTTGAATTTATTTATTTTTATTTTTTTCAAAGTGAGAAACCAGTTCCGATTCCATTAAAATTTTTGAAAAAACCGAAAATTGAATGATGTGATAAATTTAATTTTGGCAACAAAAAAAATAGAATGTTTGGATTAAATTTTTTTAAATTTAAAATCGGATTGGAAATTTGAATCCCGGTTGCAATTTCGATAATAAATAGGGTAAATTGCAACCACCCCTAAGGTATGGTCAATTTACGCAAAAACTCCTCATGTTTGGATAGTTACATCTACCCTCCTTAACTATGTTTTTTTTTCTTCCACATCCACCCTTATGATATCAAATTCAACATAATCATCTCGATTTCGTGAAATGTGCTATAGCTTGTACTCATTTTGTGTAAAAATACAGTTTCTGATATATACAAGCCAACAAACACATACTATGATCATCTTACTTCAAAATGTGGAATTCGAATGGGATAAAACGGGTACAAAAGCGATAATATTCCAAACAATCTCGAAAATTCCACTAAATTTGAAACCACAAGAGTGGATGTGTAAGAAGATTTATAGTTGAGGGGTGACTGTAATCACCCAAACAATGAGATTTTCGTAATTTGATCATATTTAGGGGTGATTGTAATTTACCTAAATTAGAAAAAACAAAATCGAAATTGAGAAGTAGACTAAGCCCATTGAACAACTCAATATTTGAATGTTGAAGGCCCATACATTCATGAATTTGTACATGATAATCTGAAACCACCATTTCCAATTTCAAAACCCTCGTTCTCGGATCCGATTAGTTTGATTTACAGATACATACAAAAAGAAAAAAGAAAAAAAAAAGAAAAAGGAGAATCGAATTGATTTTTGCAGATTATTTTATCAACAACAATGGTGGTCGGTGCTCACGTGCTGGCGGAGCTGCTGTTAGTTTTGCTGTGTGTTTCGCGGCGGAGCGATGCAATATGGTTGAATTTGCCGGCGACTGGAACCAAATGCATCTCCGAGGAAATCCACAACAACGTCGTCGTTTTGGCAGACTACGTCGTCATTTCCGACGATCATCAAGCCCACTCCACCTCCCCCATTACCACCAAGGTTAGCGATTCTTCCGATTTTTTGACGGTTAATGCCTCGTTTGGTTGCGGAGATTATCCATCATGATTAACTAAATAATTGAACTGTTTTTGATGTTTTGTTCGGCATTCACGATAACTTGTCGGGTCGACCCGCAAATATTATATTATCGTGACTATGACTATGCATGTTTTTTATTGGATGATCGAAGGTACAATAATATAATTGGATTTTATTTGATTATTTAATCTTATCTTAGCTGATCTTATCTTAGCAACCAAACGAGGCCTAAGGCTTCTATTTTTATGAGAAAATAAATATTTCTCGATATTTGGATTTGAATGATACGAAAAAAACAAAGGCATGATTTTTAATATTCAAACATCAATGTTGCAATTCGCTTCTAATCTCTTAGGCCTCGTTTCAGAATTAGGATAGAACTCGATACACAATGTAATATAATTGTATTTTATTAGATTATTTAATCTTATCTTAACTAACCTATCTTGACAACCAAACGAGGCCTAAGGCTTTCTATTTTTCTCTGAGGAAATAGATATTTCTCGATATTTTGATTTGAATGATACGAAAAAATGCATGTTTTTTTAATATTCTACCAACAATGTTGCAATTCGCTTCTAATCTCTTAGGCCTCGTTTGAGAATTAGGATAGAACTTGATACACAATGTAATGTAATTGGATTTTATTAGATTATTTAATCTTATCTTGGCAACCAAACGAGGCCTTAGGCTTCTATTTTTCTCTGCGAAAATAGATATTTCTCGATATTTTGATTTGAATGCTACGAAAAAAGGCATGTTTTTTAATATTCTAACATCAATGTTGCAATTCGCTTCTAATCTTTTAGGCCTCGTTTGGGAATTAGGATAGAACTTGATACACAATGTAATCAAGGTTTGTCAAATGTTTGGTGTTTAGGTTTCAAGGCCAAATTTTAATCAATCATATGAAGGATATTGAGTTCGAACTCACCGATACAAAGATTATACAATCATAAATTTCAAACATACGAAAATCATTTTTTCTTGCATGATGATTGATAATGTAATCCTAATCAATCTTATCAATCCTACGTGATATGGCCCGACCTCTGTTTATCTGAGCATATTGTGTCTGCTGTAGGTGACGTCGCCGTACGGAAATACGCTGTATCACAAGGAAAATGTAACACATGGTCAAATTGCATTTACAACTAACGAGGGCGGAAGCTATCGTGCTTGTTTCACAGCCGATGGATATCAATCGGGAGGCGGTGGTGGTTTAAGTATTAACGTGGAGTGGAAAACGGGTATTGCAGCAAGAGATTGGGATTCCGTTGCAAGAAAAGAGAAAATTGAGGTTACTTACATGCATTTTATGTCATTATAATGTGAAAACTAAAACTGGAAAAAAAGTAGGAAATCGGATGATATTTTTATGATTTTTCTTTTTTAATATCTAGTAGGGTGTTGAGCTTGAGCTGAGAAAACTCGAAGGTGCAGTTGAGGCCATTCATGAAAATCTTTTGTATCTGAGGAGCAGGTATACCGTATACGTATAATGTTCGAATTCAGTGTTCATCCTTAAAAGTTTGTAATACTTCTTCTTATGTTTTGTCGCCTGCAGAGAAGCGGAGATGAGAACTTTGAGCGAAGTAACAAATACTCGGGTTGCTTCGTACAGCATTATGTCGTTGAGTGTCTGCATTTTGGTTTCGGTAGCCCAGATATTGCATTTAAAGAGATATTTCCAAAAGAAAAAGCTGATTTAGATAGGAAAAAAAAATAGATTATCGACATCTGTTTAATCTAGTTTCTCTCGTTTTCATTATTTTAGAAGAAAATTCTTTGATACAAAGTAATAGCCATTTTTTTCTTTATTGTTCGAGATGCGAATTGTGTAGTCTTGTTTCTTTGAATTACTACGTGTGTCGTAAATTATTCATGGTTGATAAACTATGAAGCTGAAAATGAAGAAAAAAAATGTATTAAAGTTAAGCAACTCTAATTCGATTTGTGTTGCCTCAGTCGAAACTCGTTCAAACTTGATACAATTGACCCGATCCATTTACACTCGTATTTTGTCCTAATTATTGGTTTCACCCGGTCATTGCTAATGTTTGTTTACTTCGCTCCATAAAAGACTGATCTATGTTTATGAAAATTTCTGGCTCCAATTACTCAATTCATTTAGAATATGGTAAATTACGGTTACCTCCTTGAGCTGAGGTCAAATTATGAAAAAACCTCCCCCTCAGCTATGAATCTTATTACACGTTCATCCTCTTGCTGTTTCAAATTTAGTGAAATCTTCTTAGATTACACTAAGGCTTGAAGTGTAAGAAGATTCATAGTTGAAGGAAGTGATTGTAATTATCCAAACAGAAGGGCGGTTTTCGTAATTTTTGACATTATCACAGGCGATGGCCGTAATTTACCCTTCAGAATATATATGTTTAGTTTCACTACTGGCTTGAAAAATGCAGTTGTGCAAAAGCATAAGCCATAAATAAAGCTGGTAAAAGAAAATCTTTCACTACAAAACACAAATCTTGATAAGGTTTGTCATTTTTCAACTATGAAGAAAAATTGATGCAAGAAACATCAAGAAATAATAATTAGTTCCCTCTAAAGGATGAACCCTAGCAATCAATAAATTATTCCAAATGGGAGAAATAAGTGAAAGAAGAAAAAGAAAAAAAAATTAAAAATCTCTATTCTATAGAAACAATCTTGTAGTTCCTGTGTCTAAACTTGCAAATGTCTTCGAAGAAATCATCTGCGCTGCTATGGTTGCTCTTCATCTGAAGAATCCTTATCGACATCTTCTTTAAACTCTTCGCGTACTTTATCAACGATTTCAGTGTAGTCATTTTCTGTTCAGCATTTAACGGTGATCTTACTGTGACAACGACGTTTTCAAGACACGGGATCGAAAATTTCGAATCCACCTACCCAAGAAAAAAAAAACCCTTCATTAAAACAAGAATTATGGCCAAATAGGTAGGAAATACCGAGCATAAACTAAATAGAATATTTTTTTATATTTTTTTTCGATTTATGGACTCACGTTTTTTAGGCTGTTCTTTTGACAAAGAGCAGCAAAAATGGCACCGTGCATCTCAAAGGTTTGCAGCTTCGGGTGGCTGTTAAAGAAGTCGACAAAATCAACTTCGGGAAAGGGTAAAAGCGTGTCCCAATCACCGGTGAATTCCACCTTCATTACAAGTTGCTTCACTTCACTCGCCATTCGAAGCATCTTGCTTATTGCATCCCAACACCACTGCACTCCTCTGATATCCAATTTCTCCAACGCCACAAGTTTCCCAAAATCCACCATTTGAACTCGTCCTATATCGATCATTTAAAAAAAAAAAAAAGCTAAGGAACTCAAAAGGAACATTGTATAGCGGAAAGAAAGAAAAAAAAAAACTAAATTGGACTGATTCATCAGAAAACGAGGTAAACCTGCAGTATTGGCAATGGATAGATTTTTCAAGAACTGAGTTTCGAGAACCCTGATCAACCTACAACCCTGTATTTCAAGAGATTCAAGACACGTCGAATTTATCGTAAGCAGGCAGTCACCGTAAAAATCGAGCTTACAATCCTCAAGAAGAGGATTCTCTATCGTAATAGACCTAAGCCCATCACAACCGCGAAGCAAAAGGTGGGTCAAATTAGGACAAGCACGAAGTGCGTCGTGAAGGGCACGGTCCTCCAACCTAGCACCAACTATTTCAAGATTCTTGAGTCTATGAAAACCATTCCATTTCGGAGAATAGATCATTAAAACACCCCACAATCTAAGTGACTCCAAATTCCAAGCAGCACGAATACAATCCAACTTTGAGGGTATTTCGGTAAATGTGTTGTCATCGGTTATGTTATCCAATCGAAGCTCGAGGTTTTTCAACGTGGGACCCGCTATGGATAGCCACGAGGCAAGGCCGGCGCTCGAAAACGGGCAGTAAACAACGAGCTCCTCTAGCTTGACAATTGACAGAAGGATTCGAGTGATGATTGCATCGGGTGTGTCTCCGTTTGTTAGGTTGTCGAAAAGATTTCGAGAAAAGAATAGGCTCCGCAGATATGGTAATGAATCCTTCCATCTCTTGGAAACACATTTGCAAGATGCTACATCTTTAGCATTGCTCAGTAGGGATAAAATGGATTGGACAAGAGCATCCGGCAGTGATTCCATTTCTCTGAGGAAAATAATCAAACACTTAGCGTTCATTCTAAAAATTAGAACAAGATTAAACGGAGGAAAAAAAAAAAAGTGAGATTCTTTACATAAAAAAACAAATTGTTACGCTTAATTTGCTTGTTTTAATCTGTAAAAAATTCTGAAGGCGTTAAATTAAGCAGATTTAGCTGAATCTAGCTACTAGCATTGGGGGAAAATCTGGGTAACATGCAATTGACCTAATTTGAATCGGGATCCAATTGAAATTTCTTTGGGTACTAATTACAGAACTGGAATCTGAAAATTGAATTATCTTGAATTCAGTGAAGAAGAACACAGATTTAAATTGAAAAGAAAAAAATTGAATTCACATACAAAAAAAAAATATACTAGCTGAAGAAAAAATGCATTAATCAAAACATGATTCTGATTTTCGGAACATGCCCAAGAACAAGGATATACATAAACAAGCTGACTTACAAGAAAGATCGGATTTTTAAAGCTTCAATTTCAGAATCCTCTCATACAATTTGTGCGTCAGAAGATATGTAGAGAGAGAAAGAGGGGGAGAGAGAGAGAGAGAGAGAGCATATATACAGAAAATCCGTGAATGAAAATGTAAGGCGCGGGTGTAGAAATAGAGTGTGGGGGGAGCTTTTCAAATTTTGAAAAAGAGGGGGTGGGGTGGGGGTAGAGAGAGAGAGAGAGAATTTTTTATTATTATTATATTTTTTTTTCCAATTTGATATTACGGAAGGTGTCAGTAAATCCAGTAAGCCCGCCCTATTTTTTAACAATTATTTTTAAAAATTTCAGACCGTTTAACAGTCAAATTTTTAAATTTCAAACTCACAAACATGCTTTTCTCCTTTCAATTTTTTGAATAATACTCGGTTTTTTTTTTTTTTACTTAGGATAAAACGTTTTATAAAGTAGATAAACAATTGATTTTTTACATGATAATTAATGGTATTATTATTATTATTATTATTATTATTATTATTATTTTTATTATTAATTTTTTATTATTTTTTTTTTTTTGGTTAAACATTTTTATTTAGGGGCTATATGACAAACACCCCTCATTCAATTTTGACTTCTTGATAAATCCATTTTTTAAAATTGATATTTGTTATAAATCCAATTAACTGGAATTATCTAAAATGCCCCTATTGAATATTACAAAAAAATACCATATTATATTATTTTGAAAAATCCATTATTTTTTTGGTAGATATGCAAATCCCCTATTTTCTCCCCACACAATCCCTCAATTATCTTCCCTATCACGCAATTACGCAATTTCAGCTAAGTTTTGTCATTTTTTTTTTAATTTTTTAAATAGTTTTTTTATATCAATTTAAAACAAAAAATTGGTTTTTTTTTAGGGTCTATTAGATATAAGCCCCTTAGACATTCAAATAATAGGGGTAGACCCAAACTCAAATTTGCCATTTTGATAAAAATCCAAACTTTTTTAAATTACATAAGTACCTTCAATCAAATCCCACAAATCCCGTTACTTTACCTTTTGAAATAATATCAAACTGAATAATATGTTTATTTGAAATACTAATCAATTAGGGTAATTTTCCTTATTATATGAAAACGATTAGGGTAAATAATAATATATATGGAAACTGAATAATATGTTTGTTTGAAATACTAATCAATTAGGGTAATTTTCCTTATATCATGTAATAGACTATCTTATTGATCTAATTCGACTATTGATCTCGTTAATCGACTATGGATCCCGTATTATTCAACCACATAGTATATTAATAATTTCAATATAGTACATTAATCTGCTATGATAGTATATTACGGTTATAGTAGTGATATGAAATTGTGTTACAAATAATATACCACTAAAATGACAAGAACATTGAGAACAAAACCAACGTAAAGTATTCCAACATAACCAATAAAATAGTACATTAATAATCTCATAATTTCAATCTAGGGTTTTGATAAAATACATAAAACACATCATAACACAATCAAACCAATATGTCGAGTTAAAAAAACTCTAGTACATTAATAATCTCATAATAGTATAATAAAATGATAATGGTAGTATCATACGGTATTCATAATAGTATACTACTGTATTACAACGGTTTAACACTTAACCGAAGTTACCGAGCCATTACATCGTAAACACCTCTTTATAGCAACCA